GGCGTTTTGTAGCTGAAGAAATAGCCTTAAGAGTAGAAAGGTCAAACATTTGTGTCATGACTAGATACACTCCTACAGTGACTTCACTATCTTTTTTTCATTTGCAATATATACCAGACCATAGACTCCCATTTGATAAGATGTTGTACTATCTGAGGTGATAGATTTGACAGCGCAGAATTACAAAGTAAAAGACACTGCAGAGTCTAAATTCCATCATTATACTGTTATTATTACTACCATGTATTTAGAAAGCTCTGAAATCCCAGACCCCACTTTGGTAACCACTGTTTAAATTTGTTTCAAGGAAAGGTTTCACATCTTTGGGAAATATACTGAATCAATTTTATTTTTGCAGTTATATGAGAAGATTGATATCACTCTCATACTTATGCTAAATATGTAGCTACAGGGGGGTAAGCAGCAAGTTAGCTTAGCTTAATATAAAGACTGGAAATGGGAACAGATCCATCAGCACTTCTAAAGCCCACTTAGTAAGACCAAAACATTTTCCAGCACATATCCTATTTCTTTTGAACACATTAAACAACCAAGATATCACATGTCAATTAGACTGGCATTCCTAGTCTTTGTGCTAAGCTAAGCTAACTGGCTGCAGCTTCATATTTACCGTACAAACATAGAGGTGGCCAAGAGTCAATCTTCTCCTCTAACTTTCAGCAAGACAACAAATAACCACATTTCCCCAAATGTTAACTATTCCTATAAATCATGGCACCCCCATGCCCACACACACACACACACACACACACACACAGCACCTGTGCAAGTATGCATGTGCGTAGTTATAATAATTTATGTTAAAAACCTAACGTAACAAATAACAGTGATGTAGAATATGTGTCAATATGTGCTCCAGACGGCCAGGCCAGCACCTTGCTTGGTAGCTCGCTGACATCGATGTGCGTGAAAGGATGAACGAGAGGAAAATTGTAAAGTGCTCTAAATAAAACACTATATAAATGCAGTCCATTTACTATATTAATTAATATTAGGTTATTCTCGGAAATAAAATAAGCGGTTTTAACCATAAATGTTGCTCTGTGCTGTAATATATATATATATAATATATATATTCCACCTCATTTACATAAAGTATCCTGTGATAATCTTTCCATATTTATTCAAGCATCCTTGTACTCTGCACCGTTGCACTTTTATCTCAATTTCATTGTGTTTTATGATCATATATATACTTATATATATTTGTGTGTGTACATAGCAGTTAGATGTTTATGCTTACTTTTGCTCTATTTTGTTGTCCTTGTTTTCCGTTTGTCTATTTCTGTGTATGTACGTTGAGAGCAACAGAGAAACCGGAGCTAAATTCCTTGTAAGTATTTGCAAACATGGCCAATAAAGCTGATTCTGATATAAACAATGAACAAAAATCAAAAAAGAAATTGAGTATGCTAATTGTTTAAATGTATTTCTGGAGATTTGTTTGAAGGTAAGGCTGTCACCGACCTTAGCTGTGAACTTACTGCACGTCTTACACAAGTTTTAAAACCGTGATTTATCTTCTTCTCAGGGAACCGCAGGCCCTTCGTTATGACGCCCCAGGGTGCCACAGCACCATGCACATAAACCACTGCTTAACTCAAAGGGATAACTCTGGAGCTCCATCTGGTGGTAAAAACTAAATATATAACCAACATATGGTCATCAATTAAAACAGGCAAAATAAGAAAAGGTTTTATGATGGCTTTAAACAAAGATTTATTTGTAAAGTTTAAACTCATGATGATGCACACTGCCCCATGGTTGTCAAGCATCTCTTTAATAATCCTAATGTGAATGATAAAATAATACCAATCCATCTTTAGAGTAACATTGTCCTACACCTCAAAATATTTAGAGATGTGTCCTCGGTTTATGTAACTGCTGCATAAAATACAGCATTATACATTGAAAAATAGATTTCATTACAAAACAAATTGTTATTTTACATGTATCTACACAATGAGCATTAAATTAAAATATAACATCAGCAAAATGTGAGGTGTGTAATACAAGCAACTAAAACAAACTACTGCATACAGGCAAGTGGCTGCTTGTAAATGCGTTATCCTTTTAAACCACTCTGCTTGTTATAACTGACCCAACACGTGCATTGCTTAGTAGACTTTTCTTTATATTAATCATATACAAAAACACATCTTACACATGTGTGCTCAAGCTTGTCAAAACTCCCTTTACTTTGTATCATTGTGATGAAAGTTAGAAAACAGACTTGGACCGTCACAAAAAAAGGATTGTCCAATATGCTTTGAAAAAAAAGGAAAAGAGAAAAGCCTCACCACCCCAGCATGTCTGCATAGTTCGCAAACAAAAGAGCCAGGTTTTCAAAAAGAGAAATGCTACAAATATCCCAAAGACATGTTGAAATCATTTGCTCCCTCTTGACTGTTCAAACAGAGCACGCCTGGTCACACGTAGCGTTTGTAGGTCATCTCAAAACAACAGTCTTGATCTGCTTTGGAACTTCTAGCATAATATATATATATATATTTAAAAAAAAAAAAACCAGACCCAAGATCTTCTTGGCTCTAACTGGATATTTGAGCAAAGCCAAGAGGAAGGTCAGCACAATTAGGTGATTTGCACTCGCTCGCTGTCACAGGAAACACATGCACAAATACACGCATACAGAATTGCATTTGGCAAGAGACAGCTTTCAGACTGATAAGCTTTTAACAAGGCAGGAATGTGTCATCCAGTGAGGAATGTCCAGTGTGCTCCTCTCTGCTGCCAGAGTAACGGGAGTTACCGCTGCTCTAAAGTGTCTGCAAGTGCCTGGCACAGTGAATATTGGGAGTTAAATCACATATATTCTACAGACTCTGAAAAAAACCCCAAAAAAACCCCCCAAAGTGACCATTTGTGCACTAGCAGGGTATGCGCATACAACAAACGTCCTGTTTAAACTGTCCGTTAAATAAGGGTCGTAGGAAAAGACGATGAACACAGTGTCGTGTGACTCAATCTCATGGGTCAATTCAAATTTAAGAACAAAAAACATGAAATGCACAAGCTCCCTTACTGGAAAAAACAACAACACAAAAACAGAAGCTCAATCTCAGAGTTGTACCTCCCAAAGTTAGTGAATCCTTAAAGGAATCCCATCCCTGCTGTGACCAACGGGGAATGTAACAGCGGAAACCTCTGCCAGGCTGCCCTCTAGTGAACTAAACGCTGAGTGAAAGATAATGGCTTAAGAAGTTGAAAAGCATGGAGTTGGACAATTTACATCCGCCTTCTGCACAGTACGACGAATGAATTCAATAGTGTTGAATTTGACTGGAAATGTATAGAAAAGCTGCATCAGCTGTGGCCCCTCATTGTTCTTTAAGTCCCATTTTAAACTTGAAAGCACACTGCTATGACGACATGACTTTGCTCCCAATGACTCAGTAACATGTCTCTCTTGAAGACAGAATACTTAAGGTCTGAATAACAGCATCAGGCATCAACAGGAGTTAACATCAGCTTCACATGAAGAAATGGCGTAAGCATCAAAGTAGTTGTACACGTCGCCAGGGTGCTTTAGTGTATCACAGTAATGTAATAGGCAAAACGGTGTCTAAAATGAATAAATGAATACTAAACAGTCCAACATTAGAATAATAGACCTTGGCAAGGCTGGCTGGTCGTTGGCTGAAGGGTGCTGGTGCTCCGTTGACTGACACACACACACACACACACACACACACACACACACACACACACACACGCTGACTGCTGTAGAGCTACAGGTATGTATCCTGCTCTGTGCTGCTAAGGCTTTGTGTGGATCGCTTAAGAAGAGATTCTTTGGCACAGGGAAGGTCTGTAGGAGGCGCTTGCTGCTGATGAGATGGGTCTGTTTCAGTCTCTGGTACAGTCTCTGGTACAGTCTGTGGCACAGATTCCGGCACAGTCTCCGGCACAGTCTCCGGCACAGTCTCCGGCACAGTCTCCGGCACAGTCTCCGGCACAGTCTCCGGCACAGTCTCCGGCGTCTCGTTGCTGACTGGAGGAGGAGCTGGTGGATCTGAAGGGGGCGGTGGAACGTCACTGAGAAGAGAATATGGATTAGGGATCTCCACAATAGGCTGGGATTTCTTAATGCTGCTCCTCTTCTTCATGCTGCTTTTCTTTTCCTTTTCCTTCTTCTTGAGCTGCGGGGTGGGCGGAGGCACCTCAAGTACAATGGTGGGGTTCTGCTGCAGGTCCTGGCGTCTTAGCGGCTCGGACAACATGATGATTCGAGCGCCGTGCATCCTCGGGGGGGATTTGAAATTCAGCTCTCCGCGGCTCTTCTTCCAGCGCTTCAGCTGGGTGTGGTTCTCCCTTTCCACGTCTCGCGCCGTCACCGGCACCTCCAGAATCTGCGACAGGAAAAGACACGTCATTAGGTCATAGCTGGAGTCAATTTCATGTTCAATGTATAAATCATTTTCAAAGGAACTGTGTGGGGAAAAGACCAGCCTATTTGCTGGAAAATACAGCAATACAGTTCCTTCCACGTGTTAAAAATGTGAACTTTTTCAGTAAATGCCAAAGGGCCTCAAGGCTGCATGGTCACCCACAGACAAGACAAGCCTTCGTATAAGAGGTGGTATTGTTAGCCTGGACAGAGAGCTTGGCACAGGAACCAGACACTGAGCAGCCAGCGCTCGGGTCAATTTGTCTCTGTATCACTTCAATTGACGCTCTCAAGAGTCTCTACTGTTTCCATGGCTGCATTTCTGAGCACCCAGTGTTCATGACCGCCACAACACTCCACATCTTTAAATGATTATGGCAGTGGAATGTGACTCTGTAGTAGACGACGTTAACAAAAATGGACAAAATATCAGGCAAAATATCATCGATGAACTAATCGACAACACTTACTGTATTTAGGTTGTTTATATGAGTGAATAGACCCACAACAACTGAAGAAAACAATATGCATGGCCCAGCCTATATAGACCAGCCCTTGTGTGACATAATTCTTTCAGTATTTTGATATATTCAACTAATTTAACTCCTCCTGCACCTGGTGGAGATTGATAATTTCATGCATGGACAATTAAGCAGGGTGAATGTTTCCCAACAAGGCACTTGCACACATGCATTCTGGTTTAAGACTCGTCTCCCTTGTCAGGGCACCATGTTGCTGCCCCTTTGCTGTTACCTCTCGGACCAGGAAGCCCTCCTGCATGTATCGAGGCTCTATGGCCCTGAGAAGCTCCATGGTTTCATACTGGCCCTGGCAGGCCTTCAGCTTCTCCCGGCTCCCCAGCATGCACTTCAGAAGCACCAAACCCACACGAAGGATTATCTTCACTCCTGGGAGAGGGAGAAGAGTCAGGACCAGTGTGAAGAAGTTCTACCTACAACATCTGGTCTCACTGCAACGACAGTGCTACGAGCCGTCGTTACCGTCACAGAGGAACATGTCCCAGACACGCAGCACAGAGGCCCAGGGCAGCGTCCTGGAGAAGGCACACATAAACCACTCCGTCATGTAGAGGATGGGGTCAATCTTGTGTTTCTCCAGATGGCGGAAGGCTAGTGGGGAGACGCGTCGCAGCAGAGCAAACAGGATCTCTCCATCTAACTGTATAGCTTCCTGAGAGAGACACAGGTAGGAAAGCATTAACAGGGAAAACAAAAGCCATTGTACTCTCTATTGTCGGGGCTGAAACCTGATATGCATGTAGATATTCAAGCAGTCCAAATGCATCATGTTGCTGGAAACACAATTAACAAGTCTTGTTTCCATTTTAAATGAATTACATAGTAAGAAAACAATAATGCTGAACAGTAATCAACAGGAAAAATGTATTGCGCAACATTGTTTACTTGTGTTGTGACGCAATCATAAATTATGGTCTGACAAGACTGACAACGCCTATTGGTTTCATCAGCGAGTTATGACACTCACACTGTGACCACTGCAACAACAAAATGCATCAGTTTTACTGTAATCGTAGCCAAAGCCCAGCTAGTTAATCTGGATCATAGTTGTTGTTACAGCAAAGTCAGATGATGTCAGATGATGTATGACTCACTCTCTCTCTCTCTCATTCCAACACCTGGTGATGTCATCGTGCATGCTTGTATGTGTCTCAATCTTACCAGGCCAGGACTGTAGTAGCCAGGAAGGTACTTCTCACAGATTTGGACCAGCCCCCAGAAGGCATCCTGTGGAAACAAATACAGATGACGTCAGGAAACCCAGTAGAGGCGTTAGTTTCACAGGACATTTCTGCATACTCACAAGGACAGCAGGCTCATACTGGAAATGTTAACTTATCTAGCCACTTATAATAAAGCACTTTGGATACGTGGCATAACATACAGCTGAAAGACAAAATAAATAACACTTTAAAGACAAGAACAGTGACGTTAGTACAAACACTACCACTAATGTAGGTCACAAACCTAAACAACGAAGCTGGGAATGCTAAACTAAAAAGTCCGGGGTTTGCACAATTTTACAGACATTTATCTGAGTTTTATGGCTGTGAATTAGAAAACCTACATCTACAGCCCAAAAAGGTCACCGTGACTAGAGTCATGATGTTCTAACTATTATTCAGTCTCTTGAGCAGCGCCAAGATTTATCTCCAGATGACATCATCTGTACAGTCCGTCTCTGTGCTGTTCAGATTAAAATAGACTCGTCTAAGGTCATAAATTAAGACAGAGCTGTAAAATGTAATTAAAAAAAACAACGTGTGATCTCTAGTCACGGTTGGATTTTTCTTTGAAAGACCAAAATATTAACAAGCCTTACAACAAATAAACTTCAGTACACAGTAGTTTATACGGCGTCTGTGGTGGAGAGATGTACCTCAGCAGGCATGTGCATAAGCAACACAGCAGCGATGGGGGCCTGAGCCTGGCAGTATCCCTCCTCTGGTCTGTACAGAGTGTAGGCCTTAAGAACACGGAACAGGTCCTGCTGCCTGCGGAGCGTCAAGACACCAATACTCAATCAAATCAGGACCGTGGCATCAATCCCAGTCTGTAATGTCACATCATGTTCAGACAGCGTACCCATGTCCTCCCCGAGACACAAACATCTCATGGAAAGGAAACTGTCGATGGAGGTCTTTCTCAATCACATCTACCCATTTGGGGTCTCCAGGCTGGCTATCCAGCTCCTGACAACACACACAGAGGACACAGTGAGATCTCTTTATTACACACTAACAATTCAGGGTTCTCAACCAAAGACGTAACCCACAGTTTCAGGAGCAATTTCTAAAGAAATTTAAACAAGAAGAGAGCCCAAGTACAGCATAGAAGAAGCTGCACAGATGGAAGTGAAGCAGAAAACTCTCTGACCTGAAACTTTCCTTGGTTCTGCTCTTTCTTCACCTTCCCTCCCGACAGGTAGAGCCATGCACGGCCTCGGAGAGCAGGAGGGATTCCTTTCTGGCACCGCAGCCTCACCTGAGCCACAGAGAAACAAATCACCAAATAAAGCAGCATAGAGAAGGAAACTAGTGTGACAATGGCTTGTCACAAGTCAAGAAAGGCTGGTGCTGTATGCAAAGTCTGTGGGAAAAGCACTGGACCCATCACTTGGTATCGATTCCTTTTCTTGAATACACACGAGTTATCTGTTCAAGACACTGTCACTGCATTACTGTGAAAAATGCCTATTGACAACATTCACCAAGATTAACTGGAGAAGTATTTGTAGCTTCTATTTGATCAAAGACCCGTTACATCTGCCACAAGCCAAGATGAAAGTAATACAATATCCCTTTCTAGTCCGCTAACATAATTTTACCCTGGAGGGGCCTAACCGCTGAGCTGAGGTAGCACTTCATACCAACTGTAGCAGTTAGGAGGGAAATGGTTGAGGTCAAACATACCTGGACACTAACTGCGCCATTCATGCACATTGTAATTACAGAAATTCTACCAAGATACTTCCTCGTTTCTTTGCTTGGCATTGTATCTGAGGAGGAATGTAGTGGCCTTAATAGACCCAATTTATGTAACGTACTTACTGTGTACAGTGGTGCACAAATACATTTCTTAGAATACCTCAAGCATAACTTGGGCAGGGTGTCAAAGTAGCAGTGAAGCTATAATCTGTCATATAGAGTCACAGGCCACCGTTGACGCAATAGATTGGTTGAACGAACACTGGTGTTGGTTTGAGTTGCATTACAATTTCTGGATTCTATTGTTTTTTTATTCTGATATGAAGCTTGCACACTTCCCCAAGGAGGCTGAGCTGTAACATTATTATGAACGAAGAGAGCACAATAAGGGATCAGACACTCTGACCTAGTCAGGTATTTGACAGGGTCTCGCAGCTCAAACACACCGTTTCTTCTTCCTGTGAGGAAAAACTGTCCCATGCATTTAAGTACAGCTATATTTTATCCTCACGGCACCTTTATTACATGGTAGTCTGTCTCAGAGGAGGTCACCACGGCCCCACCCTGAATCTGAGACTGTCAATTTGTCAGATGGGGCGTTAAAGGGATGGGTTGTGTCCTGCCCTGCTGCTGACTCATGGAAACAAGGTGAAATTGCAGCTCTGTGCTGAATTTCTGAGTGTTTGACATAGAACCAGCTAGGCAAGTGAAGCTGCTAATAATGTGTCATGTATACAAACTACTCAGGATTGATAGTTTTGCAGCATGGACACAATGGATGTAAAGCTAAGATATTGGCTTTCAAAAAGGTTTTAAAACAAAAAAAACAAAAGCACAAACTCAGGTCTGGCCTAACCACATGGCTACGAAACATACAAACGTGACATTTGACATTTTGTGTTGTTGAGTTAATACTTGGTGCTGACCTTATTGAATCTCTTGATCATCCACTTATCCCAGTGGCTGAGCATGTCCAGCCACTTCACCTCCCTTTGCCTGAGCACCTGTGGGTGTAAATCCTGAGCTCTGGGGGACGCAATGGAGGAAAGGAAGATAAAGTTCATATTTTGTCACATTAATTCAACATTAAACCAAATGAAACTGAACAGCTGAGGAAAAAGCCAGTGTAATTTCAAATAAGGGAAAGTCTGAAATAAACATTTTAATTGGCCGAACATAAATAGGCGGTGTGTTGGGAGGGTGTGACAAAAACAAACAAAACAAATCCCCAGTTCATCTTTCTGAGTGTATCATCAGATCTGCATGGGTGGCCATTGCTCGTATGCAGTCAGTAAGCTACGCACCTTGTTTTGAGGAGACTATAAAAGACACAAACTCAGATCTAGTCAATTTAATGGCAAAGCCTGTTAGACCTCAAAGATCTGCAGGATTTGACTGTTTTGTGATGCAATTTAACTTCAAAAAACTTAAGGGACCGCAAATAACATTCTCAAGCAGAAAAAGAAAACGTAGGCAAGTCTAACCTACATTATGAATGAGGTCTGATGCTTTACTCGGGTATGTCATTATCTCATCAACACAAGCCTGTAATTGTAGGGTTCAAACGTCTTCAAAGACAGCTTTGTCAAACTTGGGAATGCCCTCTTACAGTTAAAAAAGAAAAGAAAAGTTGTAGGCTATATGTTGGGGATCAGTACAACAATATGTTATTCTACAGCTTCAGCTTCTAAAGACCTTAAGCAATGATGAGTTACCTTCAAATCACTGCCACACAGTGTAAGTTAAAGCCTGGATTTGTGACCACCTATAAAACGGTGAGCCAAAAGAGGCCCTCCAGTAACGGGGCACCAGAACTGTGGCTCCAAGTCTGCCAAAACTCCAGAAAACAGGAAGCTCCCAGCCAACCAGTGCTTGGCACAACTTACACTCACTCCTTCCACTATTTCAGTGCTGTGGGTTTAAGGCCCCCAGTGAAAAAGGGAAGAAAGAGAGGCCTTCTTAGGAAAAACACAAAAAAACAAGTGCAACTTGTCTCAAAGGCAATCAAATAACAAAACAGCATAGTGCGAATTGTTTCTTCAGCTTTTCCTACACACGAAAAGTAGTAAAATATCTATGAAGAAGTGGTTTACATGACGGAATGAAGAAAAAAAACATGCTACATGTTGTCTTAATCTGCTTGCCTCCAGCTTTTATATTTGACATATTGGGTGAGGCAAACACTGGGCATAAACAGGACATTGTGCCACGCAGCAAGTCGCGAGCTCTGTCGTGCAGAAGACACGAACTAACATAATGTGTGGGGTGTAATTACAGCTAGATTAACTGCTACATTTTGACCCTTTTCTGGACTTTATCTGAAGTGAAATAAAACATAATCGAGTTTGCAGTTTTTTTATAATTTAGATGAGACGACACTGGCAGGAGTTGAGAGAAACTTACGATTCCTCCGTGTGCTGCTGTGCCCCACCAATGAATCCATATTTATCGGTTTGTCTGTCGCTGGTGAATCCGTTGATCTCCGAGTCTGATCCCAACGAGTTTTCATCGTCCATGCGACTGCTGCCGATAGTCCGGATGCTCATCGTGTCCAACGATTGATGGCCGTTCTCTATTCTGGCCATGGTAGCGAGAGAGAGCTAGCTGGCTAGCCAGGATAGCTAACGTCAGCGGAGCTAATGTTGACAGCCCAAAGTCAGACCTGCTCCTCTGGAAATGTTGTCGAGCTCAACCGCATCGACGCCATGATTCTTGGACGCGAGTTAAAACTTCCCCAACTACTGTTCCGTCTATAACTGTTATGCACCGTTACGCTTTTAACCGTCAGGCATCAAATAGATTAAGAGTTAAGCTAGCGAGGTAAACTTTAACGCTTATTCTGATTTAACATTAGCCAGCTAATGGTGGGCTGCTAACGTAAAGTTAGCCTTACAAAGCTAGTGCTCAACACAATCCACAACTATTGTTATGACGATCCTACCTTTAACAGACTAACCCGGTATTGTCAGCTTGTATTTCGTGAACTAACTATGCTGGATGGTAAACAAACTAGTTTATCAGGACGTCTTGACTCGCTGTCCTGTCGTCCAGAGTGAGCTGGACAGCTTTAGTCTCGACCAAGTCTTCAGTCCGGGGTTGGTACGGGTACCCCTAGTGGCTGCCTTAGAAAGTAAATCTAGTGTCTGGAAAAACAATACGCTAGGCTACATGCACTTCATATAATCTTAAATGTCAAAGTAAACCACCATTTTAGTGTTGACTAACCTTTTATTGTTGTATTTAGTCTACATCACTAATGATGGTGCATCAGAGCACGTGGCCTGCATTAATCACATTAACTAGTTGCTAACCTTACACACCAAGAAGCAACAAAAAGTAAATTATTTTTTTATTCCTTTATTTAGCATTATGTGTCTCTACACGTTGTTACAAGTTACTATATACTGTATATCATCATGAAGAAATCAAGAGCTGAACCAATAGTGTGAAGCCAGTACAGTACAACTCATTTAGCATTCTGAGGGGACAATTAAGAAAAAGACCACAACCACATAATTTTTGAAAATTGTCATTAAACTAAAATTACATGACAAGAGTGAGTGAAAAACACATTCACATGTAAAATATTTCTTCTTGCTGCATGGCTCACTTCTTTCTTCCGCCTCTCTCCTTCAGTGCCAGGTGAATGACCGCGCCGTTGCTCATGTTGTAATAAGCCAGGGAGTTGGAATCTTTAATGAAAATGCCCTAAAAAGGAACAAAGAAATACAATGTATTATTCTAGAAGTAAGGTTTCCTTTTTTAACCTTTTTAACCTAAGATTAAAATAACAGTTTACCTCAAACTGTAACTTCTGTTTCCCTGCTGGCATGCCCGTAGCTTCATGGATTTTGACTTTAATAACAGACACCTGTGGAGACATTGCATTTGCAGATCCATAAGAATGCAGTTGGTGCACTGGCTTACACTTAAAAACACGGAAACAATAAGCCACCATTTGCAAACCTGATCTGTGAGCGGGACAGTGAAATTCAGCACTTGGCCATTCAGCTTCCATTCGGTCTTGTCCTGCATGTTGGGTACCTGTACTTTAACTGCCACGGGACCCTGGAGAGGAAAAAAGACATCATGGTTTAAGCTAAGACTATCTGTAATAAAGAGATTGGTTTATCAATGAAATCTAGGAATATTGAACATATACCTAGACCTACTTTACTCATATTCATCACTTTGATTTGGTTGTTCCTCTGTAATCTGTATATTTAAATCCCTGCCTATATTTGTCTCTAATAAAAAGTTTGAATTCTGTATTTAGAATTTTGTCTAAACGCAGATTTCACCATTAACTATTAGAAATAAACAAACAACATTTCACTGCTCTAACAAACCTTATTTCTGCGAAGGAACTCCTCCTCTGGCATAAGGTTGTCCTCGGTCTTCATCTTCTTGTTGACTGGCTCATCATCGTGAGGTGGCGGTGGGTGGGATGGTGGTGCAGGAGCAGAGCTCGGGGGTTGTGGTACTGGAGGGGCAGGGACAAATGCTGAAAGAAAAAAAAAAACAGTTATTTCAATTTAAAATGATAATGAGGAGGCCTATGTGGGAAAGGGTTCCCTTAATGTCCCAAATATTTGCATATTTATTTTGAATGTCAGGGATAAGTGTACGGAAACTGTCATCTTACCAGTTGGAACAACCATGGGAGGTGGTCTGGGGGCCATAATGTGAGGTCCCGATGGCTGCATGGGGACCACATTAATGCGGGGAGCAGGAATCATGGGAGGCATTGAGGCTATAACTTGTCCTGAAGCAAGGCGCACCACAGGAGCCATAGGTCTTGGAATTACAGGTACAGCAGACAGGAGAGTGGTGCGCACTGGTCCCATCGGTCCCATCTGTTTACAATCAACACATTAGTGAGGTATTAGTTTTAGAATTAAATTGAATTACAAATGAACTGTTTTTTTAAGTTACTTACAGAGTGGGGTGGGCGAGGCATCATCATTTGGTGACTGGGTTTAGGCATACCCATTTGGGAGGGCATGGGAGGCTGGTGATGAATATCACTTGGCTTGCTTGGGCCAATTTTCTCCTTGGTGTCGTCCTCTCCCACCAGTCCTTTGGCCTTGTGAATGGCTTCGATCTGCTCTTGCAGGGTGATGTTGGCCTGAGCCGCCTGCTGGGTACGAGCCATGCTTCCCGAGTGGCCATCCCAAGTAACCTGGTAACATGGAAAGAGAAAAAAAACGTACAGACTCAGAACCTCAGGAATTCCTGTAACTCCTTACTGTGTAATATAAACCCATGACTGTACCCACCTTCTCCTCTGGCTTCTGGATTTCTTCTTCACCGATCTTCTTACCGATGGCTGTCTCTTCCACACCAAAGATATCTGTTCGCCTCTCAGCCAGTTGTTTCAAGCTACTCTCGATATCCAAACCAGGAGCGTAGACCTCATCTTCGGTCTGTCTCTCCCTGATGCTGCGGTCCCTTTGTTCCAGCCAGCGCGGATCCAGCAGACCAATACGCATGTGCTCTTGCATTTTGCTGGCTTGGATCTTCTCACCAGTAATTGGTGAGATGAGGTACTCATCTGGAGTTATGATTGAGGGTGGAGGCTTGGAAGCTGTTAGGAAAAGATGGCTTGAGATCAACACACTGTACAGCTTGTTATGCAATTGGTATTCCCTCATCTAAGGGAGCATGTGTTACCTTTGGGATCGTAGTCTTTGCGAATGATAACCTGGTCTGGAGTCGGGGGCAGTGGGGGTGGCATAGGGTTGTCTGGTGGCAATGGAGCCTTCATGCCATCATCGTCATCATCAGATCCCTAAAGAAAGCAGGAGGGGGTGGATATAATAATATGATGTTACCAGCACTTATTTTTTGTTAATTTTTTAAGCAGAGGGTCAGAAAACACAAGTATTTAGTTGGATGAAAATGAAATGGGGGCAGCCTGCGATTGGTCAAGGATCAACAGTTTACAAGAATTCATTTCTTCATCACTTCTTACCTCATCCATGTCCTGCACTTGTGTGTCTTGATCAGGCTGTGAGGGCTGGCCTTCGGCCCGGACCTCCCGCTCATCGTCGTCATCCTCACTCTCAACCTCCATCTCCACCTCCTCACTCTCTCCATACTTCTCATAGCGCTCTTGGATGAGGATGCGAGCGCCAAGCTCCTCTGGTGTGGTAGGTGGGGGGAAGTGGCCTGGGGGAAATAGAGATGCCAGTAAACATAAATTATTCTAGCTACATTTAGGGGGTTACATGTTTAATAATTATAATAATTGTGGATATATTACCTTGTTCGTTGGGCTGGAAATCCACCGTCTCAACCACTACAAAGTCATGCCAGTCAATTTGGGCATACGCCACACGTTCTTTCTCCCTTTCCTCCTCCTCCTTCTTTCTCTCGCGCTCCTGGAACTTTGCCCACTCAACACGGTACTTCACCTGATGGTTGTGCAGAAAGACAGCTGCTTAACATGTGCAACGTGCCATCATGTGGTTACTCTGAGAAACAGTCACAGTTTAAGGGAATTACCTGGTCCATAACCTCTCTGGGATTCTCAGCCTCTCTCTTCAGCTTGGCCAGAAGGCCTTTGGGAGGGATCAGAATCTACACGTTGTGAGACAAATCAAAACAGAGTTTAGCATCCCCTCCAAACATACAATAACGGTAATATCAGAGGATCAATTTGTGCGGTCACCTTTGTGTACTGCTCAACTAGTTTGGTGAAGTAGTTGAAAAGGCTGTGCTGTGGCCGCAGAAAGTCAAACTGGTAGTTCCTCTGTTCTTTCTGCATAAGCTGAGTAAGAAACTGGCGGCCATTGCGAGCAACAAACTGGGCAGTGAGCTTGACAACATCGAGATCAAATGCTGAGATTGATGGAGGATCCGCAATGAACTCGTACTCAGGAGGTGGTTCTTTGGGGACAACTGTCTCTTGAATCACCTGCGCCTAATGACAATTACAAAGGTACATTAGTAACAAATATCCATTAAAGGGACATGAAAAAAAAACATGCAGATTAAAATGCCGTGTCTTACTTTCTGAAGCTGTTGAGCTTGCAGCATGGCCTGCTGCATAACCTTGGGCACGGCTGCAGATGGTTCCTGTCCTTTGCCCTCCTTAAATTCATTGACTTTGTGACGGTAGTAGGCATGGTACGGGTCATTTGGGTTGAGGAAATTAAACTTTGGATTGTTAATTTCATTCTGACGGATTCTTGCTTCAAACTCTGGTCCATTCCTGTTAAATGACAAGGAATTTGTTTAGTTATACAATCCATTGAAGACTGCAGCTGTATAAAAGATGATACAATTGACACATGTGGAGTTACCAACCTGGCAACAAAGCTGGCTGTCTTGTCAACGATGTTTCGAACCTCAGGAGGTGGATAAATGATACCAACGATGGGTTTAGTGGCTGGGGTTTCTTCTACTGGAGCCTCATTCTGTTGGCATAATTCATATTTGTTAGGCATTTGTAATATGCAAGATACAAAATATATAAGAATCCTATTAACTATCACTCACTACCAACACATTAGCTTCAACCTTCACCCAACTTGCATAACATTAACCTCCCTTACCCCTTGTAGCGTCATGCCATGCATACGGATTTAAGTTTAATTAGCAGATGTTTTGAACTATCGGTTGGTCATTATGTCCCCACCTCAATAAATAGAGGAACATTTAACTTGCGGCACATTTCAGTATGAATAACATTTGAAAAATGCGCAGCCAACATAATATCCCTTCTACAAAATAATTTTCGGGTTACTGTAGACAATGCAGATGTCGCCGTAAAAGTTGAAAGTTTCAGGGGCTAACGTACAATTGTTTCAAAACGTAAAATTGCGTTTTAGTTAAAGCTAACGTTAGCGTTGTGCGTGAATTGACCCTGAAAGCTAACTCCAAGCTAACAGGAGTTACGCCTTGTGGCGATTATCCAAAATAGACGTCAACGTTACCTACTCCTACTCTGCAATTCACGTTCATTGACACATTTCACAGCAAAAAGTTAATTGTTCACCAGTTCCCCCACTCACAAACAGTATGCCAGCTACATTGCTAGCATGAGCTAACTCGTCACCTTGTTGTTGGGCTCCGGCTGAACGATTTGAACAGGCCCAGGCGGCATGGCGAAGTCTTTTTTTGGGGAAAACTGGAAGTAACCTGCAAACACCAAACCAACAAAAAGAGTTATGTATTTAACATACACCGATTATACTATATATTTAGCTAGAAACGCAATCTATAACAACTTAAAGTCTAAATTTGCTGTAGTTGGAACACGTACTGCCTCGCGCTTTTGTTGACCCAATAGAGACGTATTACTTCCGGACACACGCCGCAACGCATTATGGGAGTTGTAGTACTTTTTACAGGTTGCCGAGGAGATGTGATGCCAACAAGCTACACATCCTCGCCCTCATTGCTGTGTCGGACAGAAACAAACATAAGCTATCTTGTCAGATATGAGTCAGTTCTTGGGTCGTCAGGACTGCATCGAAAGCCTCCGAAGAGACGTCGTCGACCTTCAAGGTGCGATTCTGGACGTCTTCTCCAGAACTGGACCGGTCCGCTTTTCCTCGTGGAAGTTCCCCGATAAACTCTCCTGTCACCTGGACATGGGAACGCTACTGGAGCGATATGACTTTGTGGATGGGAAGGATACATTCAATCAACACTCCCACATTGTGTTATTGGAGCTGGTGATTGACAGGTAATACATACATCAAATTAACAAATAGTTATTTATTGAATATTTACTGAAACATAACTTGCCTTTTCTCTCTCCTTTCGCTGAAGACTACTGCTTCTTCTACAAAGCTTCAATGCGTATGTTGAGCAGATTAGGTGCAGCCACAGGAGAGAACAAACCCAGCACAGAGGTCTGTCAGTTGGTCTTGTTGTCAGAAACTATTGGAGTAATTTTGTTCAGTTTGCCAACCTAAAGGTAGGGACATTGATTTATTTAAATGAAAATAAACATGTAAAAAGTATACCAATAGAGAATGGACAGATCTCTTTACTTTTTATACTTTCTTTTTTATTTTAGGGGACATACAAAGACATCAAGAAACAAACAAAAGCAAAGCCATTTGACTCTGATGGGACAGAGACAGTGTCACCGGTCTCCCCCCAAATGAGCACAAGCAGACATTCCTTATCTTCCTGGTCTTCAACAAGCTCCTTTAAGTTTTTGCCACAGAATGATGTACCTCCCAGTGCTACCAACAACACCCTGTGCTATCCTAAAGTTTACAGCCACAATGTAAGCTGCCAGACTGTTGAATCATCCCTTGTTCCCTGCAGTGCATGCCACCAAGTGCAATCTACTTTGATAAAAACAGGGCATGCCTTGGTGGAACTGCTTCAGAGTGAGAGCCTGCCCTCATCTCTGCAGCCACTCCTAGTAGCTGTGGAAGACACCCTGCAGCTGGGACATATGACAGCAGGCGATGTCGCCCAGTGGGCCAATGAGCAGCTAAGAGACATGCGCCGGCTGGAAAAACATCTTGTAGATGTGCGGGGTACTGTGCAGCCTCTTAAAGATAGACTAGCAGAGGCAGAAGCTGAGCGGGAGAGATTCAGGTCTCAGCTGGAAGGTAAACGGAAGGAGTTCAAGCAAGAGATGGAAAAACACCAAGCGAACACAGTCCAGCTGGAGTTTTCACTGAGGAAAGCACAAAGATCCATGAAAGAAACAGAGCAAAGGCTGCAAAAGGAGCAACGACAACTCAAGAGAGGTGCGGAAACGTCAAAAATGAATATGATAGGAACTCATTGCAATCAGATACTATATCTTTAATATTTTTGTAACAGAAACATTGTGCTTGGAGGAGAGTAATTCCGGACTGAAAGAGAAAGTAGCAGTGCAGCATGATGCATTACAGGCACTTGGTAAGGACATAATATTCAGGTATAGGTACTAAGACAACAAAATACATTTCTCTTACTTACTTAAAATAACCTTGTATGCTGTTGATTGATGGATCATTTTATTATGCGGTAGAACGAGAAACGAATGTGCTGCAGGATAAATTGAGGACCTTGCACATAGAGGAAGAGGCCTGTTGCAAACTACAGCAAAGGATCCATCAGTTAGAGAGTCAAATCTCTGAAACTCAACTTCATCTTGACAAAGAGAATGCCAAGTACCACAGTGCTTGTCGTCAACAAGAGGTCAGTGACATCACTTACAAAATAATTATTTTTAGCTTGAGTCCATGACGGTAATTAAATTGGTCTATACAGTTCTTTGTGTATGTGTGTGTGTGTGTGTGTGGGTGCGTCTAGTCAATGCAGGCAAAGCAAAAGTCTTTGTTGGAGAGAGTTGATGGTCTCGACGAAGAGTGTGAAGAGCTGCAGAGGCAGTTGTTGGAGAGGGAGGAGAGACAGATTGACCTTCACAATCAGCTGCAACAGATGACAGAGGTGAAGGATCAAATGCAGGCCCAATTTGCTCAGCAGCAGGTATATTGGAGTTCTTGAGTGCAGCTTTACATTTCATAATAAAGACTTTTTAACCTAGTGGTTTATGCTGTGATGCTTCTTTCCAACAGGACCTGTGTTTGGAGTTCCAAAAGGAGAAGCAGACCCGGGAAACATACGCATGCGAGCTAAAGAACAGTGTGGCTGAGCTAAAGGAGTATGTGCAAGCTTTGAAGGAGAGAGAGAGGCTGTTGGTGGCTTTCCCAGAGCTCAGCCCTCAGGCCCAACCAAAGAGTATGACAGTGATGCAATATTTGTCTCTACAATATTAACGTTTTGCATGAGTCATCCACTGGCTGACAGCCTAATTGAATGTAAATAAAACTCGCTCAGTACTGTTTACACTCCTCTCGAGCACCAGACAGCTACCCTTTTCTTTGGAATGCACACAAACATGTATCCAGTCATTTATTTCCCAACTGCTTCTTTTTTTAGTCGTGCAGTCATGTTTTAAGTGTTTAAATGTTGTTCATTGTATGTTTCTAGGTACAGGAAATGTGCTTTTGGATATGGAGCAACAATTGCAGGCAAATAACTTGCGCATAAAAATTCTGGAGCAAGAAAACACAACCCTGTACACCAGCCTTGTGAAACTGAGGCAAAGACCACAACATAATGCCACCAGGGTAAGTGGATGAACATAATGTGAATTGGTGTGTATTACACATTAACTCTCATTCATCTGCTACATGTTGGTTTTGTGGATGTTGAAATTTACATTAGACTGTATATTTTTATCAACAGGGAGCCTCACCTCAGCAGACATCTGTTGAAGAGCAAAAAAATCACCTGACACAAATGCAAAAGAGTCCATTGTGAGTTTGATTTGATAACATGTTACTTTGGAACACATGTAGCATTATGCATCATTTTTTAAATAAATGATTAATCATCCCGCTGTGTTTTGGGTATGGCCTTATTTCTCCTCTGTACCACAGGCAGAGCAACAGTGCAGCAGGGCTGGAATACGATAACAGAAGGAGGGAAGCAAGACGTGGGGAAAGTGGTCTAGAGTCAGCCGGGTCAGAGGATCGTGTGTCCACTGCCTCCGCCTCCCCTTCTTCCCTGCAACTTCACCATCAAACCCTCCACCTCAACATGGACGCCACTGCTGCTAAAAGCCATACAAAAACACGCAATGGTTCTCTTCTCTCTCACTCCAGAAGCTCAAATCAGAGGAAACAAATTTGACCCTGAATGCATAAATACAGTAAAAAAGAAGACGCTCTTGAAGCTGGAGTGAGAAAGGACAATAACTACAAAGCTCATAAAAAGGCACATTCCCTACATTAATACGTCATGATGTCTTATTGTACATTATAGCACACTAACACTAATTATTTTCTAATTTTCAATGACATTACAAGTTATGACAATGGATTACCACTGCAGCCACTACATTTGTCATTATGTTAAGTTGAATACATGCACTGTATATATAAAACTAATTGTGGACATATGTACGGAGCACTGTTATTTTTAATAGGGTATTCATGTCTGTTGAATATTAGGTTTCTGGATATATGATATGCTGGATGTATCTGATAGGGTGGCGTTCACAGCAGATGATGCACTTGGCTCTGAGTACATGGGCAGCTTGTACAACCTTGAGTGGGACACAAACAATGACACAGATGTGTTGATGGATTTTTAAGTGCTATCTGATGAGGGTTCAGAGTAGGATGTTTCCATGGAAATGCAAGTGCTCACAGGATTCACGCTCTGCTGAATCACCACAGACCTTTATTTCAGTCAGTTAGTCCTCATTAGTGCTCCGAGATCAAGACCACACATACTGTATATGAGGTAACGTTTCTCTCTCGTCGTTTTGGTGTTTGCACCACACGGCATGAGGCTTGCTCTGCGGTGGTAATTTGAGATGCTCTTAGCTCAATTGTGTAATCTGAGTCTAATAGGGAGCCCAAGAGACTTAACGTTATTGTGTCAGAGCGGTTAAAGTCAAACATTTCCTCTATTTGTTCTTGTATTAAATAAACCTGACAGATAGTGAAAATTTAAGTATTAGTAACTAACTGCAAACACCTGATTAACATTACTAGTGATACCAACACTCTGATTTCTCACGAATATTTTATCACCTGAATGAACACCTGATCTATCATTTCACTCACTTAAAAGACAGCCAATGACCCGAGGGTTAATCATATATGCAGCTGTGTCATCAAGCATGCAATGGAAGTTACCAAAGCGATTAGTTCAGATCAACTATGGCATTTAGTCAAGTTAATCCAGAGCAGTCGTGTCTTTTAAATAAAGTTCAGTAATGAAGAGAGAATTGTTTTTGTACTGGACTGTTAACACCATAACCTATATTTATTGAAGCTTTTATCTGCTTTAAAAAAATTGTCCATAAGTTTATGGAAAACATGTCTCTTAATGTAAGTTGCAAGAAAATGTAATGTGTACAATCAAGAATTGATAAATGTTTCTATTTCTTGTTTTTTTCTAAGCAGCAGGAGGCTTGATTACTAATTGTACAAAATAAGTTATGCTACATTTTTGATAACAATAAAAGAAACAATTCATGTATCGAACATTTTAAATCAATAAATGGTTACACATTAGCAACAATTTGGGTTAAGTATTTAGCAGCAAGCCATGTATAGAAATGCCTAAATGGCCATGGATCAGACTATTTACAGGTGGTTGAGTGTACTGCAGACCTGCTTAGATATAATACTAGACATTCCTGAATGTATGACAGAATGTCTAGTATTTAACATATATAATAGACATTCTGTCAAAATTCCCAGACAGTTTGGGAGGTCACGGCCACCATGCAAATAACTGACTATCCTGTCATTCAAGAAATTCTATGCACAACACGCTGTTTATTTAATCTGCTAATTATAGTGTATTTTATCCACAATTTTAGTCCACTATTTATATTTTTGTATATGCTGTTTCAAAACATTTATTTTGCGTTTATAACACAGTCTTTTGCATTTTATACAGACCTACACTATAACAGAAATATTTGAGAACTTCTGTGCAAGTACAGAGTACAATACAATTCAGAAGTAAGAAAAGAATTGGATCATTTATAACTGTGCTCCCTGCACAAAACAGAAAGAGAAAGAAGTGACAGAACGTTTAGCTTACAAAAGCACCACAGTATCAATATCTGTTACTGGCCACGACATCCAAAGCATAACTGTGAAACAAAAAATTACCAGACAATAGTTTTCAGTGTGCAAAGTTGTACAAAATTCGAGGAATGCCACAATTACTCCTTGTCTTCCATGTTTGTGTTTAGGTTTACTAATTACAAAGCATGAAAGTCTGATGTAAGAGTTGTTTTTGATCCAACAGACAAATTTAACGACTAAATCATAAAGACTGATAAATTCAACTTTGGGAATTAGTCTGCATTGATTACTGCAGGTTTAAGGCCATCGGTATCTTATGCAACACATGCAAACACAAATTGAAATGAATGAAAACATTAAATTCATTTGAATCTTTTTAAGTACATTTACCTATGTAAAAAAGCAAAATAAAGCCTTCCCTTATTGACACTGTTGTTTACAAGTGTAGACTATGGGAATGCCATCTATATAATATGAGCGTTCTCACGTGTGCCTTTCTCTAATCTAGGTCAAACTGCAGACAGGGACTGATGCAAATCTGCTGGGATTACAGAGGCCTCAGAGAGATGGAACACATTCCAGGTTTAACATAACCAAAGTCTGCCTGCCTGCCAATATTCAACCCTGTGTGAAGATTTTCATTCAGAAGGTTTGTGCTTGCCTTACATATATATTCAATAATAAAATTATCTCTCAGGAAAACACAATCAAATAAAGTCTCAATAATCTATACATTTGTATAATCTCATACCAACAGGGAGAAAGGGTAAAGGGCTGCTGTTTAAACTTGTGTGAGAAAAGACTGGACAAGTGCAAGATCAGTGACACAGAAAAGAACAGGATCATGGGATGAGATGTATGAGATTAACTAAAGCACTGAAGTGTTATCAGCCACTAAAAAAGTGAACACAAATTACTGATGAAGACTAATAGAGGTACATGCAAAACATATATTATACAGATACCCTGATATACAAAAAGGATAATGACAACTCAGAAAAATTGAAGCTAATGAGATCTGTATACAGCAATAATAGAAAATGAAATACATATTTTAGAATACGGGATTAAATAACTTGCCAGAAACCACTTTTCTTGGGGCAGTCTATGAGTGCCAAGAGGAGGAGATGGACTAAGAGGATCCAAATTATTAGAGCTTGTAGTTTCTCCTGAGGTTTGTGGGAGAATGTGAGAAAAAGGCAAAAATGTAAACTCACAAAAGCATACCTCTGCTTGGCTAAAAAACAAAAACATGCAACGTATGATTGCTTATTATGCTCAAAATGATTTTCCAGCTCCAGATCTGTGTTAGCATTTTAAAAAAAAAATAAAAAAATCATCGTCTGAGTGTACTTAAAGGTTCTATATATGACATTCAGAGCGTATCTATTGTTTCCTCACGGCTCTCAACATGGCGACGGCAGTACTGACAAAGCAAACAGTGTTTGCCTTGAGGGGGCGGTGTATGAGCGCAGAGAAGAGCGGCAGCCATGAGCTGGCAGCTTTGTAAATGTTCTGAATATATTTTTGTTTGATTTTAGTACCTTTAACTACACATTTGTCACAAAGCAAGCACCATATATAACCTATAACCATGTGTATTTTGACAAACTGGCAAGGTTGCAAGAAAAGAGGATATAACAACTTTGATGCTAGGATCTTACAGGACAGTAATAAAGCTCCCTACTGTACATTTGAGTATTACAAGATATACAAATAGGCTTCACAACAAGCAGAGAGCGTGCATCCTATCCTGTGGTGTGCTTACATTTGGAGAGCAACGAGTATAGACTGTGGCAGACCAGTCACACGCTAACGGGAGTGAGATACAGAGAGAACACTAGACAACAGATAATACCAGGCAGTAGTAATGACGATGTTAGGTCACACATCATCTATTTCCTGCGTACTCCTCAGCTGTCGAGGCAGTGGAGGGGTTGATGTGGTGCGCCGAGGTGTCCAATTGTCCATCGGGCTGGACAGACTGCACCGTCTCTACCAGGCTGCCGCTGGGTAGCACCACGTACCGGGCGGCCGTGTCTTTGGTCTGCATCTCCCGAATTCCCTCCTTACTGTGCCAGATTCCATAGCCAAAATACACAAAGAGACCTGGGAAAGGGACAACATGAAACATTTGTAACCATAAGGACTCTAAATTATAGTCATGAATGCTGCACACAGGTGTGTAGTGAGAAAAATGTCTCAACGTTGGATATATCAGTTTTGGGTTGTGTTCTCATTTTGTGAAATGTTGATGGCTTTCATATTTGATTTGATTTAAAATCAATATTTGTGTTTGAAAAACCCATAAATGGTTTATAAAAGCTTTGACTTTTTGGTATACCAACAATACCAAAGATCTACAGCCATGCTGGCAGCATAGCTTCAAGATAAATGCTCGTGTCAGCATGCTAACATGCTCAAAATGACAACGCTAACATGCTGTAGTTAAGCAGGTATCATCTTTAACAATCATAGTTAAGTGTGCTAGCATTCCAACATTTGCTAATGAGCAGTAAACACAAATTACAACTGAGGCTGATGGGAATGCAAATGTTGACCTGTTGATGATGCTATCAATGTGCAGATCATCACCAATGTTGATAAAGTGAAGGGGACATAAATGTGTGTACAAAACGTCATGAAAATCCATTTCATTGTTATAGTAGTTGTTGAGATAGTTCAGTCTGCCCTCAATTAGTCACAAGCTTGATGAAATACAGAACTTTTATCAATTTGTATTTGCATTTACTCTTTGGTGTAATATTGATTACTTGGATTGAGTTCCACCTAAACTCTGAGTCGAATGTAAAAGTCCTACCGTTTTGTCTTTAGTGGCCATTAATGCCGGTAAGTGCCCGTAACTGTTCTGAGAGCCGAGCCTAAAACCCTGTCAAGTGTAAAATTCCATGTGTGTGCTTCTCGTTAACTTGCTGCAGTGCGACAGTGGTCTTAAAATGGCTTACTAATCAAGAGAAGCCTTAAGCTAATCATGTTTCCCCAGTGATTCCCACTGAGGATTCGTTCGGAGGGTTGTTGACGAAAGTAAACACTTTCTCTATTCCCTTTAGGCCTTTACACACCTTGGGCTTGACAAATAGACAACACGAAAATGCTAAATACTCACCTGCGAATGTTTTGCAACAAAACTACTCATACAGACAGTGATGCAAATGTGCAACACTTTTTCACTAAAAGGTTTGAATAGATTTGTGCAGGCAGATTACCAACTACTGGGTTCCTATTGACCCAGCGTCTGGCAGCCTGTCTGGGGTTAGAGGTTGTTATATAGCCTAAACTATTGTAAGCTATTTTATTGAGTTTCTTTTTAGCAAAATGCTCTGAATGAGTTTGAGTTCCCTCTGGTAAGCAGGGTATATGTCTCTGGCTTTTTTTCGTGAAAGTTAAAAACAGAAGGAGTGGATCTGGTTTGCGCTCACTTTGTCATGGTTGAAAGCAGTAATCAAGTTACGTAAGCCTCTGTGTTGTTGTCCACTATAGTGTACATTTTAAATGAGTCTATTGCAAATATCGTGATTGCTTGATGCATTTCTTCGCGGTGTGAAAACTCAGAAGAATCGACCTTGTTTCAAAGTGTAGTATTTGCATTCTGAATGAAAGTATTTATTAAAAAAACAACTAAATAACAAACAACTAAATATAATGACGTGCAAAAAAATGCCCCTGGTGTGAAAGGTCTTTAGTGGGCAGAAAATGTTTGTTTGTTCCGAGGATGTAATGCTCACGCACATTAAGTTCACGAGGCAGATGTTTTACGATCAAAGACTGTTTATAAGAAGTGGACGTAGTCACCACGACATCACCCATTTATTTGTGGACTACCGTTTTTAAAAGGCCTCAAATTTTTGCCATATCCATCTAGTTCTTTTGGCCATCACCATCTTGGCTTTTTGCAACCACAAGTGACACGAGAGGGTGGAGCCAAGAACAACCAAGCACTGAAGAAGACATTTTTAGGCGACCGAAAAGGATATAATTAACCTTCTTAAACTGAAAACACAATGTGAAAGGGTTAAAGTTGTAACACCAAAACACGGACAACTACCTGACCAGACAACGCTGTGGTAGCTACCCGTCATCACAAAGTGGCCATGCCCTAAAGCCTATCCTGCTTTGTCGTCTATTTTACTCTAAATGGGATCATAATTTACGATATGAACATGTCGTATTTAGACTTGGCACTAGCGATTGAGAGCATAAACTCTGAATTGTTTACTGAAGCGTCGCCTCCAGCTGTTAGACAGAATGCAAGTTTAAGGGAATTCGGCATTGGCTTCACTTTTCAGACCTGAAGGTGGCTGCCTGTTGATTACTTTGCATTCAAACTACCTACTGAGATAATATTAATTTCAGTTCATGTGTGTGCTGTTGATAACGCTCCCTTTAAGTAACCAAAATTAGATTAACAACATGTAAAGCAGTGTTTGTTTAGAGGGGGGTGTTGTATACCCACTGCTTGCCACTATGCCACTTGGGATTATGCAAATGAGGAGAGTAGAAGTTTTTCTTCAGCCAGCATGTTTTCTGTCCGAGTTCTGGTGCCTTCTTACCTACAGCGATCCATACAGTGAAACGAATCCAGGTTAGATAGCTGAGCTTCATCATGAGGAATATATTAATGAGAATACTGGCAGCTGGAGTCAATGGAACCAAGGGTACCTATAAAACAATAACACATCAATTATACTCCAATCATAGTTGGTGTAGTTTTCATGACGATAACAATTGGCTTTAAATAAATGTCTCAATTTAGTTGAGATTAAATGTTGAGCAGAATTTAAATGTGTGTTGCTGCCAGGACAGTGAATGCAGTGGAGCAAACAAGTTTATCTGAGGACACAACAAAGTGAAAGACAGCAGTATTCAAAAATTATTTTAAACATAGAGTTGTGCAATAGTTGCAAAAACCATAAAGGCGCTCACCTGAAATGTTTTGCTGCTGGTTTGTGGCTCGTGTAACCATATGAGTGCCAGGCTGAGAACATAAGCTAAGCTGAAAATCACCAGCAGCATTGTGAAGCTCCAGATAGGCAGATGCAGCTGTTTGGTTCCAAATTCTACCACTGCACAGAAGGAGACTGAGCTCACTATTATAGTCAGCACGCAGTAACCCACCACCTCGCCCGGATCACAGTCCCCCAGCAGCTTGCCCAGGTACGGTTCCCAGTAGGCCTTCAGCTGTCCCACCTCCTGCCGCTCTGTTGACGCCTGTCTCTCTACCAACTGGAATTTGTCAGAGAAAGACTCGTACTGCTTCAGCTCCCCGCTGTCCTCGTTTATGGTCTGAGACTCTGAGGCGGCATCAGAAGGCTCAGCACTAGGGTTGGGAGATGTGGAAGCGGTTCCCTTGGAGCTGGTTTTGTTAGGCTGGAAACGCAGCACAATGACACTCGCTGCCACAAAGGTGTATGCCAGGAGGGTGCCGATGGACAAGAACTGAACCAATGCCTCCAGGTCAAAGATGAGAGCCATGGTGGCCATGAGGATCCCAAACACCAATATGGCATTGACAGGGACTTTGGTGATGGGATTGACTTGTGCGAAAATGGAGAAAAACAACCCATCCTCTGCCATGGCGTACACAATCCGAGGGAGGGAGAAGAGATTACACAGCAGCACAGTGTTCATGGCTAGAAATGGGAACAGAGAGTAATTATCAGAATATAGCATTGTGCAGTGAGGACTACTGCTAACCATTATGTATTACCATAAGATACTTAGTCTAACAGCCATTTAAATTGTACTTCTAAATTGAAAATAGACACTCACCACAGATGGAACCTATTGCCACAATAACTCCAGCCCAACTGTAACCCCGGCGGAAGAAAGCATCTGCCAGAGCCGAGTTGGGGTCCAGCGTATGCCAAGGTACCATTAGTGTGAGCACCGTGGAGACCAGGATATATGCTGCAGCTGCCAATCCAAGGGAGATGGCAGTGGCAATGGGAACAGATTTCTGTGGGTTCTTTGCCTCCTCACTTGAAGATGCAATTACATCAAAGCCCACAAATGCGTAGAAGCATGTAGCTGAGCCCGCCAGTATTCCAGATAGCCCGAAAGGTGCGAAACCTCCTTCTTTCTCGCTCCAATTGGCTGGTTCAGCCAGAATAAAGCCAAATACCAGGATGAAAATGATGACAACCATGCTAATAGTGGAGAAGATGTGATTGAGGTAAGAGGACACTTGAACTCCAAAGGAAATGAAGAATGAGGCAACTACTAGAATCCCTGCTGCAAGCAGGTCAGGGTAATGGGCAAGGAAGGGCACATTCCACTGCATAATGTGTGTCTCTGTGAAGTTCTGGATGGCGTGGTTAAAAATAGAGTCCAGATAGCCACTCCAGGCACGTGCCACAGCGGCGCCACCGATCATATTCTCCAGAATCACATTCCAACCAATGAGAAAGGCCCAGACCTCTCCCACAGATACATAGGTAAACATGTAGGCAGATCCTGTTTTGGGAATGCTTGCCCCAAACTCTGCATAACAAAACGCAGCCAGCAGAGAGGCAAGACCTGCAATAATGAAGGATATGATGATAGCAGGCCCAACTATGTCTTTAGCCACTGTTCCTGTCAGGACATAAAGCCCAGAGCCCACCATGCCACCGACTCCCAACAGAGTCAGGTCCAGGGTGGAGAGGCAGCGTTTTAGCGACGTGGCCATCATGTCATCATCCAGTGTCTTGAGTCGGTTCAGTTTCTGATAAAAGCGCACCGCTGGGGTGCAGCCTCTGGGACAAGTTTCCATAGCTACAGAGTTGGAGAGCTGGACAGGATGTTGTTGAAACAATCACACTGGATCCATCGCCTGGTTATCAAGCTGACCTACAAGACAGAGCACAAGCAGACAAACATTGTCAAATGCATGAGGAAAAACTACTGCAGGTTACGTGGTCTAAAGTTTTAAACCTATTGCATAGCCAAGAAACACAGAATGATGGTTTAACTTAATGCACTTTATGTTCATATTTGAGCTGGACATAGGCTACTGTTTGAAGCACGTACAGCATGAAGAAATAAGCGTTTTGTATATCGTTGGTGATAGTCATAATGGAAATAATAGGTTTGTTGAATAGGAACTCCCGAAATCTTTTATGCATGAGAACCAAAAGTTACATTTCTGATTTTAAAAGCAGCATATTAGTAACATTTTGCTTTATAAGTAATCTTGAAAAAAAAGCTTATTTACTCAGAGCAAATAATTAAAAAGAAAGAAAACAATGCCATAGTCTATCTGGCCGCTCACCAATTTGAGTTAATCTATTTTATCTAGAACGCGCAATGAGGCCTGCATGTGTTACACTGAGCACTCATCACTCAGTAGCCTACAAGGCAAGTCCACGTCATCCGGTGCGCGGATAAAAGCTTAAAATAATGTAACGACGTGAGATGTAGATAGTGCATTTTTTTTATTTATTTGACTTTAAACAATGTGTTGTGGCTTGTCATTTGTTTGATCCAGTATTCATCATCCGGGTCTGGGCGGTGCAACATCCGATTCCTGCCCTTGATAGGCATATGGCGACAACAGGACGCCTCTGCTATAATTACGTAACGCTTTATTCCCTTCTAGAAATAACCCCCCGGCGCCATAAACTACAAGATTCGTTTACACTACAAATACTATTCATCTTCAGAAGGCTTTATATCTATGACCACATACTGTACCGTTGAGGGAACAGACGACGACGGGAATAAACGTTGTTTTAATGCCAAATTAATAATTTAAAACAAAATGGAAACGGACGCAAAAAGAAGATCGTTAGTCTATTAGACTTCCCTACTCCTGCATGTTTTGAACATGCAGAGCGACATCGCAATCATTCGTGCGTGAGCAGGTGTGAATATTTCCCATGATTCCGTCTGTAACCGCATAGACAGAGACGTCCGTAATAACGTAAGAAATACAAGCATTGCTTTACCGTTGTTGTTCAGGGTCTGACATTTCTGCTGCAGGTCCGGCGTTGACATAAGTTACCGAGGTGCATCGTCTGGTGATGGAGCCGAAGGTGCGCCGAGGAATAAAAAAACCTGCATGCGCCGCCTGGACTGCTTCTTAAAGGCACAGTCACCTTTTAAAAATAATTCACAAAAGACACAAGACATTTTGAGAGACTTAATCTGTTTTATGAAAACAAATATTCATGCAATGGAAAATCAACACATACAAATATGCAATCCTGCCATCCAAACTGGTTTTCTTCATATGTCTATCATTAATTAAATTGTTCATTGTTGGTTATTTGTTTATTTATGTGGGCAGTAAACTTAAACCAACACTGATATTTAAAGAAATATAAATGTAAATGTGAAGGTGTTAGCTCAAAATCTACTTAACATCCCTAGTGCCCAGACAACTAAAGCAAACTTAACAGATAAAAAAAGCATTATACCCAATAAAGCAAAAGTAGCACAAATATGGGTAAAACAAGTAGAAAATGTATTATAATACTGTTCATATAAATAAGCAATGACGTGCCAGCACACTGGACCTGACACTTCAGTCAAAGGTATCAGGAGGCCTTCATGAAGTAGTCCCAGTTACAGCAGTCTCTGTGCGGGTAAGCAACATATTGATCCTCTAATTTCTGTCAGAGCCCGCTCCCTCAATGCTCTTTAAATATGTAAACAATGTATCTGCAAAGGTTTTCAACATATTAACTTCCTAGTTTCACAATCTGTGACATGTCAGTTAAGTGCTTTACAATCTATGTCGTCACAACCCGCTTCTGTTCTCTACCGAGACTGCAGACGTCTTACTTGTACACTCGAGAACCAGCCTTCTCCTATGGCTTTTGATGGTGAATATTACACTTCCAACAAGTGATGAACACGTAGTTAAAGCAATCAATGCCACAAGTTGACCGACACTTGTTGGATCTCACAATTACTAGAACGGGAGCATATGCAGTCAGTGGCTATTGCAGAATTGGGCCTCCTTGTCAAAGGAGTCCAGATTGTGACTCCTTCTGTTGAAGCTTGAGGATCAATTCGAGTAGGTTCATCTGCATCGTCAGCTCCTGAAATAACACATAATAGTTGAGGAGAAATTAGTTAGGACATACATTGCCATCTGCTGGGCATTTGTCTGTACCACAAAGAGCATGTTTTCTATGCTCCCCTACTTGTGGTGTTAGTATGCATCTTAACTATAGTGAGTAGCCGTTTGTAGGCTTTAACCTGAGGATTAGTGGTGATAAAAAATCCAGGGACTCCTGCTTTCTCCAAGGTGTTCTGCTGGTCTATCACTTTTTGATCCATTTCTGCTACAATCTTCCTATCCATCATTCTTTGCTCCTCTCGCACACGGATTTCCAGAGACTGACAACACAACACACAACTATTAGTAAACCAAAAAGAATATAGCAATAATCATAGCACCAGATTTCAATGCCTTACCTCTAGCTCTGCTTGTTGGTTAGATTTGAGAAGCGTGAGGTTGTGAGACTTGCATGACTGTATGGCATCCTTGTGTTTCCGTACAAGATCTTGTTTGAGTGCTGCACACAAAATAAATAATTCATCAAACATCACACTGGGATGCAAACACAACCTTACACTAAAGGCCCGTTCCAAGAAGCAGGTTTGATACTACTGAAGGAACTCCTGGTTTGAATCAGCATTCATCCAGGTTAAAAGGGCACGAGCTTGCTTCTCAGAACAGGCCCCATTAGTCACGAAAAGAAAGAGAGCAGAGCACCAACCTTGGTGTTCACAGTGCAGCTTTTGCCTCTGGTTGTACAGATTTTTCTCTGTGAGATGCTGAATATCCAGGAGTCCTTGCACAATCTCATACACCGTCCCGTCTATGAGTGCTAGGGCCAGGTCACCCAGCGTGCTGTAGGACAGCCGCTGCTGGAAGGAGCTACAAACCATGGAGGAAAACAAAACACACAACAAATGATCATCAAGATCTAGCTTTATTTCCTGGTACGGCTGATAAGCAGTCATTTGAATTCCGTGAAGGAAGTCTCGCCTGAAAGGCAAGGCACCATTACCTTGGTAAATCTTTGACTAGTGTTTGCAGTTCAGATAACAGGTAGTAATGTCTTTCTTGATGTTTAGTGGAGTCGCCGTCAGTGACTCCGGGGTAACCATCCATCTCCTTAACTGCAAAGATGAACACAGCAGCGGGACGTTGGTTAACACATTCAGATAAGCTAGCTAGAAGTAGCAGGCTCGGCTAATTTAATTGTTGTATATTTAAACGTTTTCTGAAAACAGATAGGTAAGTCATATAGAAGACTAGCCTGTATATGTAATAGATAACGGCAGTTAAAGTTACGAAACCAACTTAACTGGAGGAAAGTGATTGTTTTGTTAGCTGTGGGTAAAGGACCCCAAGTTGCTGGCTGTCAATATGCCTGTCCGTAATGGCGCGTGCAGTAGCTTAATGTGTTCGCCAGGTGGCGCATTGAATCACAGAAGGGAGGCTCCTGAGGACCTGCTCAACAGCTATCACCATACGTTTACGGACATTATAAATTAGCACGAAAGCGCTAAAAATATAACAACACAATAACGTCAATTACAAACAGATAGTGAGCAATGTCAGATATGACAACAAATAATGTCTTGTGCTGTTGTGACCACAGTTTATTCGATCATGTTTATTTCAGAGTGGACATTTCATGATGGGTTCATTTGGCTCGTTTAAAAGAAGAGCAGATATAAGACGGACGCATCGCCTGAACACAGTTCAGCTGCCCACACTGAGTGACCCTCTGTGCTCGACCTGCTGGACTGACTGGGGCTGCATGCGCGCCTCTGTCGCGCGCTACTGGTGGGCTGTGCGGCGTCACGCGCCCAAATGTGCCATGAAATGAAGAAAACTCACTTGCGGAGGGGAAGAGCACTATTTATAAGACCGAATGGGAACAGGATAAATTGGATTATTAGCTTCCTCGACTAAAATGGCCAAAAATACATCTCTTTATTTTCGAATTGTCGAGGGCAGGAACCTCCCGGCCAAAGACGTGTAAGTAATATCTGAATGGCATGTGTTTCTGTCAAGTATGATGTCTTATAATGTATCTAGTCTCAACACGGTTTAATAGCTCAGATCAGAGAAAATTCATCTTAGATTTGAAACGCCAATTTCTGGTACGTTGTCTCCTGTGAATTATGTTAATTGAAGGAATTAGAGGTGAGTCTGGTCTGTCTGCTCGAATTGACCTCAGCATACTTAAACTGATTAAGTTTACCAACCGGCAAAATTTACCATCCTAATATGTC